ATTTCAGAAACTCTTCTAGTTTTTCTCTTCCATATAACCAAAGTGCGAAGTAGCCATCCAGGTACCGCATGAGCATCCTGGTTGTAGCGATGCTATCTTGAAGCTCTCTTCTATTTCGTTCATGTATACGTTTGCCAAAAGTGGTGAGAGCGTCGATCCCATGGGAAGTCCACATATTTGTTCATAGATAGTCCCTTTGAATGTGAAATAAGCTGTCCTTATTGTCATGTTGATTAGTCTTGTTAGCGACTCCCTCATGATCCGTTGTGATTTCAGGATTTCCAGCAGGGCTGTTGGCGCTTTTTCTCCAGAGATATTTGTATACATGCATTCCACATCGAAACTTGCCAATAAGTCCGTTTCTTTCAGTGCCATGTGGACCGGGGGTTTTCGGAAATAAAGCCAAGACGTTGTCAGTGACTCGTTAGCTTGAATTTGGTTGTGACGATGATGATGATCGTCATATGACGGACGAAAGCTTAGCACCTTTTCACCGGAATCGAAGGAGATTACCTTGGAAACAACGTCACTATGAATGTTCCAGTAAAGACAATCGACCTTCGTATATTTTCATCAAAAACTTTCACTCGAAAGGGAAGTAAGCTCAGCAATTATGAAACAAGAGATTCCTCGAAACCCAACTTTTATTCTATTATTCTTTACTATTATTTATATAAGTAGCGTAGTCGATTGTAATGCAAATACATTTTTTATTGTTAAAACAAATATAACTCTGATATGAAATTCGTATCCTTCCTGGGATCCATTGGCACCTGTGACTATTAATAATTGTGTTGCTATATGTAAAATATAAGCTGCACTGCCCTTGTCACATTTATTTTTGGGAGGCTGTGACCCAATAGAGATCTAAATTGCTATCCACTTTGGATGGAAACACCTTTCGGGAGGTGAGGATGGATGAAATTCACTGGTATAGTGGGGCTTATCCACAGCATTATGGGAAAATTTAATTATCCTTCCCTCGTCACCTTATACGACTAAGGGTGATTGAGGTTATTACTGCTTTATAACTGTTGATAATAATAACCTGAAATTGATCTATATCGATTTCCTGTTATTTTACCCAAAGTTTGAGTCAATGTCTCTTACTCAATTTATCATTTTTCTTATTTTCAGAATTTCTCACACTTAATTAATGTTATACTGGCAATATCGATAATATTACAACTGTACATATGCTCTATCGGTTGATTGGTATCCATTCACTGATACTTGCTCTACCTAGTTTAGATTATTCCAAAAAGATCCTGTTTTAACTTGATTTTCAGCTTTTAATAACTAAAATCTCAATTAGCTAGCACTGATCTCCTCCTAACAGTCTCTTGATAAAATAACATGTCAAAACCTCAGGTTTCGTCTCAGTTAGTTACCATTGCCATGGCTTTTTACGTTTTCTTGAGATAAGCGCTCGAATGAATAGTTGATTCGACTTGCTCTAATACAGATAACGTTTTGCATCATGATGTAAGTGGGCTTTCGGTGAGCTATTCCCTGATTCCGAACTGTCATAGAAGTGCATCCATAAAATTGCCCATTTACACAAATGAAAAATAATTATCAAGTATATCATTCTTCAGGTAGTGTGCAATATTTGCAACATAGTTTTGAGATGAATACAGCATTACCTGTTGGTACAATGAATATATTATGTGCATATCATTTTCGTAATCGTACTTGTAATTCGCCTAAATTTTTAAGGGATGAAACACTTATACGAGTTAAGTTAGTAACGAGAAACTCACTTTATAGCACCTAAGAGGGACGGGTTTTTTAATTATCTCTTGAAATCAGATTAATTTTATACTTAATACCTAAATCGGATCTGCCATTTACAGGATTAGGAGGAATGACCTCAGCATTTTCATCGGAATCTCTATCTGATCTAATTTATAAGAAAATGGCTTTGTAATTCTAAATCTCTTTTCTTTCACTGCTTTTTATCAGCCAGAGTGGGTGTTCCGACGAGACTGCACGTTCCCTCTTGTTCGTTAACATTTCGGCCGCCGGACAAAAGCTCTCCGACAACTTGGATACTCTCTGGCATGAGGCCAGTAGTCAGCTCTGGATTAGCGTCCTCTGCCCACTTGACCGGAAGACCAGATCCACCAGGCTTAATAATGATGCTGATATCCGCAAGGAGGCTGTTTGCTCAGTCTCTTCCTCCCGGATAGAAAGCAATTCTTGTCAACCGAGCCACGGCAAAGAATCCACTGATCATCCAACTGAGTCTGGCAAACGGTTCGAGATGTTAGGACTTGCTTCTCGTTGGCAAACGTTACAGTATCGGCATCATTCAGTCATGTCACAGGTGAGTGAGGAAGATAAATTTGTTGAAATGCTTGAGTCAAGACAATTACTTGCTCGAGCTTACTGAATTGCAAAGCAAATTCCGTTTTGTATTAGTTGATATGAGCGACAGGTAGACCTTTTGAAAGGTACCTAGTGCTGCTTGCTGTACTATAGTATTCATGATGATTTCCAGCATCTGACCGTTGATTTCTTACATTCCCAGGAGCTTCGTCACCATCGTCAGTAATAATCGTCATCCTTAACACAGAGTTACAGCTTTTCAAAGTGACACGGGAACGCAATCACTGGAAGGTAATTACGCTTCATCAGACCCACACTCTTAAGCGAAATTGAAGGAGACGAAAGCACAAAAATGGTGTGAATAGATAAATGGGATATGAAGTGGGGGTTGTGAGAAAGAGATTCAGCACTGGAAGATAGGACAAAAATAGTAACGAAGAGTGATCCCACAACGGTTGAACAGAAAGTTGCTCTAGGAGATTGCCTTCACTTATCACTGACACGTTGTAACTGTGCTGACGATGACGCCTCCTACTAACTATGCCAGCGAAGCGTCTGGGAATGTAGAAAGTCAGTGGTCTGACACTGGAGTCATCATAAATACCTGAGGCCAGAGGACGCAGGAATAGGTACGTTTCACAAAGTCTTCATGTCTTTTTTACCAGATTGCGAAAACGGGGTAAACCAACACTATGCAGGTATGAAGACTAAGATGGTGTGGCTTTTTGTGTGGTCGCTGTCTCCTTCCGTTGCATAGCTGTTGTTTGACCTTGTTTTCGCAATTTGGTCATATTGGTAGGAAGACTTGGGGGAACGCACCTAGTCCGGAGTCCATTGTATGCATCATCATTTCAAAAGTTGAACCGTGGACATGGTACATTCTCAAACGTTTCGGAAACACTAATAAACCAGGGAAGAAGGGGAGATACCACAATTGTTTAGCACAAGATTGGTCAAAGGATCGGCTTCACTTGTCTCTTTGACGAGTTGTTGTGTGGTGGTAAGAATGGCGATACTCACTGACGATGCCGACTAAGATGCCGGCGAAACGTTTGGGAATGTACCACGTCCTTGGTTCAACTTTGGAAATGATCATGCAGACAATGGACTCAGGACAAGGTGCGTTCCTCTAAGTCTTCCTACCAATATGACCATGTTGCGAAGACAAGGTCAAACAACTTCTATACAACACTATGCAGCTGAAGAAGACTGTCGCAAAACAAAAAGCCTCATCATCTTGGTATTACAATCTACAAATTCTGTTGTGCTGCAACTTTGATCAATGACTGTTGCTTTTGAATCACATATTTTAGGTGTCAAGATTACATATCAAAGTCTTTTCTTGATACATATTATTAATTCTATCCTTGAGAATAAGACATATTTTGATGCGATATTCTGCAAATGTAATTAGAAATCTCAGTTACTCCTATTTGGGGCAAAGTGATACCATAGGCCTCTTTGAAGTCCCAAATCTTAGTCATTTAGCTAGTCCTTGTGGTTTGCTCGAGAGGTTTGATTTTGTTGCTAAAATTCACTGTCTAATATCCTAGAGTGAAATGTGCTTTCAGCTAGTCTCAGCTGGAAAGTGATGATAGCATACTGCATGCTAGAAACTACAATAGGCCCTGAATGCTAAAGCTCATTTGGACTAAAATATATTGTAACATTTGGCTTTTCCATCTACTTGGTGATTACCGGGCACTCAGGCCTCGGGACGACTCAGCAAATTTCACTTGATTTTGCTGTTTTTTCTATTGCTAATTCAAATTTAAATTATATAATTCTTTCATATCAGAGCAGTGCTCGTGTGTCTGAGTATACACTTGCCGTGTAGCTAACTAAATCCTTCATTTCATATTTAATTAAAAAATTATTTCTGCTCACAAATTTTTTTTCTTCTTCCATACCGTTTTTACCTTATTTCATGTTTAGCTCAAAGTGTCTATCGGTTTCACAAAATACATATTAGACATTGTTTGGATTGATTGATAATATCTCTCAACTCGCCCAATTACGGAATCAACATCCATTTGCAGTAGTTCCCGATTCTACTAAGACCCTCCAAGTTTCAGATTGCCTTGAATTTATAGCTCATTTTATCCGCACAATACTACTTTTCATTTATTGTTGTAAGGTATGACAACCATTTGTAAACATTGGGCTTTGCTCTAGTCTAAGCGATCCCTGCATATTCACAGTGCACGACCAGTTAGAAGGATAGATCGGTGATTTCAGTAAGACCAATCAGACATGGAATCAGCCTAAAATTCCTGCTATTGCTCCACTTGTGGGATAGAGGATAGCAAATTAAAGGCTAGATACATGCAGCACCATCAGAGAAGTCAGGCTAAAGATATAGATCCTTATTAAATTCATCAGGGTGTGTCTGCCGATATAGGGTGCACAATATCAGTTGTTCCCTAATGTGCGCTCGTGCTTGTGTGCTTTTTTTGTGTACATTTTTAGTATGTGCTGTACTGAGAGGTGGCCAATGAGGTTACTAACCAATATATACATGAAAAACTTACTTGAACCTTAGGATTAGATAAGAGTTATGCGATTTACCTGATTCAGGAATGAAACAGGAAGTGGTAAATTTTCATAACGGCATTTCCGAATTAATCTGAACACATGGCCACAAAGAATGAGATGCATTGTGGGTGGGGATGAGCAAAATTATAACTGGATGATGAGTCTGAGCAAGATGGGGAAGAAAGATACCTAGGCATGGGCATCACGACTCTACATCCTCGAATATGACGTAAACGGTTACATGAATTGAAGGCTTATGGGAAGCAAGGTTTCATAAAATCAGACAATGATTTTGATGCGGCGATTGAATATCAATATGATAACTAGGAGAAAGACAACACTCTTCACTAGCCTGCCGGCGCAACACGAGAAGGTTGACAAACTGAATTGCTAGAAAGTTTATCAAATCAAATGAGGTAACTATGAGCAGAAGTATATTGATACAGCAAGAATAAAAATCAACCTACTAATCAAGGAACATAAAAAACTCTGAAGGAACATGGATCTGAAGAGATCAGAACTAGCGGAACACATCGCATGGGCAGAACACGAACTCATCTGGAAATTGGCTGAAAGGCTGGCTTTATATGGTTAAAATACCCAAAAATGCAGGATCTTAGGGGCTATTGAGATCCTGATTTAAGTAAATCTGATTAACAGGAGACTTGAGTAAGGTATTCGCTAAAACTTTGCATATTGTTTGAGCAAACTTGTTGATCGTGGATCGGCATAATTAGCAAAAAGAAGACGACTAGAATAAGGAAATATTTTAATTTTGAGAAAGGGTAATTGGAAGCAGAAAGTCACCAAGAGACAATCAAAACTAAGGGTAGACTTCTACTGTGAGCTTGCTCAAATAAAGTGGAACAACTAGGGCATAAGAAAGTCATAGACTTGGCATTATGACGAGAGAGAGAGATACAGCGGAGACCGTAGACAGTTGGCTATTAGTAGATCATACACATGGTACATGAGGTAAAGACTTGACCACGAGCTTTTCCTGCTACACATGCCGAGCAGCGACAAGGGAATCTGCAGCGTAAAGTTGTCTTTCCGTTTATCTTGGGAATTCAAACTTCGGGGTCTTGCTCAGTGATGATGGAGGATACGTGCTATCAAAGGTTAGTTGTAGAGTGTAGAATAATAGACTTTATATGCATAACATAACGCCTCGAGTAGCACCGGTATGGTAACAGTGATCTAGGGAAATCACTGAACCAGGTAGATTATAGACGGATCCTGTGGGACAAGATGAAGACTGATAGGACTTGGAGACAGAGGATTGCGGACTAACAGGGCAGACTCGAGTCAGTACTCCCAACACAGTGGGGGACGAAGGGAGCCAGCGGGGCTCATGAATATGTCCTACTTAATCCCCTGGAAAGAGCATATTTAAATTTGGTTTAAATAAGCAAGCTGGAAATTATGATAGTGATGGGATGATTCAGGGATATGGGATAAGTGATTACACCAGGACAGTCTCTGGCCAGTTGTAGTGGTGTACTACGAATGACAAGGCTCACTGACGATGCAGATGAAACGTCTGAGAATGCTCCAAGTCCACGGTCCGACTCTGTATATTATCATGGATACTATGGACTCCGGACGAGGCGCTTTCCTCTAGGTCGCCTTGTCAACACGACCAAGTTGCAAAAATTATTTAAATGAAATTCAGTTTCAAATGTAAAAGGTGGAGGTTAACTTAGATAATACTACTCTAGCAAGAGTTAGGGGGAATTATAGCATAAAAATTAAGCGTGGTACATAATGTTAGTGATACAAAACTACTACTGAATCTCGTTTTGCGGTTGTATTTTGTTCCATTGGCCTGTTGAAGTCTTACACACTTAAAAGTTAGTTCGCTTACGATTTAATTAGGGGAAGATATTTTTTATTGTGCTTATTTTTAGGTCCTTTGTTTTATATCCTATTGGTGTGCTTTCGACGCACGAGAGAGATCGAGACTGCAATCAACTCTGAGCACTAACTCACCTTTGTGGTAAATGGCGCGGTAAAATTCTATAGCAAGAAGAAATCTTTTTCAACCTTTTGCTGGCAAGTCAACCATAAAATGCCTGAAATGCCAAATGAATTTAACCCTCTCTTCTAATATGAAAAGAAGTAATCTAGGACAATTATTTTCCTTGTTCCATTATAAATGCGATTAGCTTGTTAAAACGGACTGAGTATAACCTGGATACAAACATTATATTCCATTGACGCTGGTATACCTTTCATTTCTTTTGACAAGGCCGGTGGAAGGAATTCGTAGGTTGGCCT